AGTGCCCCAGGGCCTGAGCCGAGCTGGAGTCACCGGGGCCGGGGCCAGAGCCACCAGGGCTGGGACGGGCTGGAGCCACTCGGCTGGAACCGGGGCCGGCGCCCCAGGGCCCGAGCCAAGCCGGGCATGCCAGGGCCAGAACCGCTCGGCTGGGGGGGGGCCAGACGGGGCCGTGCCTCCTCGCGCCCCCCCCGCCACTGCCCCAGCCCCAGCTTACCTGCTGCCTGCCTGTTTCAGGCTTCCCGCGAACATTTGATTCGCGGGAAGCGGGGGGGAGAGGGGAGGAGCAGGGGGCGGAGTTGGGATGGGGACTTTGGGGAAGGGGCGGAGTTGGGGCAGGGCTGGCGCCCCGTGGAGTGCCCTCCTTTTTTTTTTTTAAATATGGTAACCCTATCAAAAGCGACCTGCACACTTCTATGGCAGAAGCTCCTAGGTGGGGTGTGCTGGGGGGTCTCCGTGCGCCGCTGCCCCCCAGGCACCACCCCCGCAGCTCCCACTGGCCACAGTTCCTGGCCAATGGGAGCTGCAGAGTCGGGGCGGGGGCAGCGCACAGAGACACACACCCCCAGGGCCGCAGGGACATGCACCCGCTTCTGGGAGTGGCGTGGAGCGAGGGTGGGCAGGAAGCTGCCTTAGCCCCACTGTGCTGCCGGTGGTGGCTAGGGGCCCAGGCGGGGCTGGGGGGGAGACCCGGCCCCAAACAATGGTGGAGCTGGGCTCCCGGGCCCTGAATATTCCTGGAGTATGGGCACCACGGGCCCATATAACTCACCGCCCCCGCTTCTGGATCTGGCACAGCTCTAGCCTCTGCTCCCCAGCTCAGCTTGGGCCTCTGCTTTCTCCTTACCTCGGCCCCACTCTGTCTGACCCAGGCAATTCCAGCTCACATGGAGGACGGGACCCCCCTGGCCTCTTGACTCCTTGATTAGCTGCCCGCCCTGTCAATCAGGCTGACCTGGAGCATTGGCCTCTCCCCATTGTTCCTGGGGACTGTCAGTCTCAGGGTCCTGATTTCCCTTCCCTCCCCCTTCCCCTTCTTTTTGGTACTGGGAGCTAGCCAACCAAAACTCCTTTTACAACAAGCTGCATGTCACACCTGATGGAGACACCACCACCACCCCACAGAGCACTGTGGATACCTCCAAGGAGCCCAAGACACAGATCCCTGCTGTGGAAAATGAGGAGGAAGAGGAGGGTGGTGGACATGTGACGGAGGATCCGGCTATGCAACAAGCCAGGACCTGTTCGAGGCTCCACCTCAGAGTAGCCAGTCCTGGCAGCCAAGCACGGGCAAGCCCAATGAAGGGGCAGGAATCTCAGGGAAATGTTTAAATGTACAGATGGCACCCGACTCCAGCTTACCAGGACACAGGTATCAACTTTTCATTAATTTACTTGTACTAGAAGAGGTAGCGGTAAAAGAGACAGAAGTAGAGTTGATATCTGCTTTTCATTCCCCTGTAGGAGTAGACCGGGGGGTGAGAGGGGGATGTGGACCAATTTGTTTGTGTACATAGGGATGTCCCTTGAATCCTCCTAAGAGACCTCAATGAAACTTTCAAGGAGATACTCTGCAATCCTCTCATGATGGCTTCTAAGAGGGAAGCTTTATTTCTTCCTTGGCAGTAGGACACTTTCCCATGCCAGTCCATGATGACTTCAGCAGGCACCATTGCAGAACACAGACTAGTGGCATATGGGCCCAGGTGGGACACCAGCAGCAGCTGTGTTCTCTGTGCCTATGTTACTCTCAGGAGGGAGATACCAGCTAAAATCAACACTGCCTGTGGGAAATGGTGCCAGTGCTCAGTTCCAGTGCCCTTCACTTGTACCCACAGAAACTGAGGTTTCATGCAGGCAAACAATTCCTTCCTCATTCCCACCATGGCCCTACTGGGCGATACGTACCATGGCTGGGCTGTGCAGACGTGCTCCAAGGCTGAAAGGTCAATAAGCAAGTCTTGTTTAAAACTTTAGGGGAACAAGGGATGGGAGTTCTGAAACTTAACTTTCGCTTTCTATTGTGACTATAAACACAATGATACCTCTGTGTGTTTTATTGGCAGCTGCTGCCATTGCGGCCTCAAGGGATTCCCCCCTCCCCACCCATGGAATGCCTGACCATGATACAGAGGAGTAAGAAGAGGACCCAGGCAAGATATGTTCTCAGAGATCCTGCAAGCCAATGCTGCATCAGACCAGGAACAGAGGGCCTGGAGGATAACTATTTCAGACACTATGGAGAAGGAAAGAGCGGAGAGGAGAAAGGCCCGGGAGTCCCAGCAGGAAAAGGACAGGGAGATGCACCAGGACATAATGGGGCTTCTCCAGCAGCAAATACAGATGTTACAGACTTTTGTTGACCCGCAAGTTCTGTAAGCACAGGCTCCCCTCCCTTTGCAGTCAACCAATAATTCTGCCATAGCATCTCTCTACACCCCCTAATATTCTTCATGGCTGCATCTGTACCCCTACTACTGCACTCTGGGCAACAGTAAGGACAATCACAATTTCACATACATGCAGGGCCGGCTCCAGGGTTTTGGCTGCCCCAAGCAGCCAAACAAAAAAACAAAAAAAAGTTGCGATAGCGATCTGCGGCAGCAATTTGGTGGGAGGTCCTTCACTCCGAGCAGGAGTGAGGGACCGTCCGCCGAATTGCCACCGAACAGCTGGACGTGCCGCCCCTCTCCGAAGTGGCCGCCCCAAGCACCTGCTTGGTAAGCTGGTGCCTGGAGCCAGCCCTGCATACATGCCCTGTGAGAGCCACGGTTGCTGTGCCTGTAGCATAAATGGACTGAAATTGACATGAATGTTCTTTCCCTTGTTAAGTTCTGTTCTTATTTATTAATAAATAAATAAAAACTACTCAAATAAATTATTACATTTTCTTTTAAATTGCACATATTTTTGCATTGCTTTTGGTACTCAATAAAATTCTATTTTTTGGAAATTAATTCATCATCATTATTACACCACATATGCCGCACAATGCCTAACAGTATTGAAAGCAACTATTAGTTATTGTACAGGGCAAGAGAACTCATAGGGCCAGTGACAAACAGTGTAATAATTATTAATGTTCAGCAAGCATCACAACACTAATAGCTGCATTAACAGACAGTGTTATATTCATCAATGTACACCAAGCGCCACACAATTCCTGAGAGGCCCCCAGACTTCAGAGCCAGGTAGAATACAATCCACCACACCACATTACTGTTGATTGACTCTTAAAATGCTCTTCCCTAAGCCACATAACTTCACACTGAGCTCTTCTAATGGACCTTGTGTCTGGCTGTTCAAAGTCAGCAGACAGCCACCCCACCTCTGCCTTCCACACCGGAGGCAACTTGTCCCCCTTTGCCTCACAGATATTATGCAAGATACAACAAGCAGCTATAGCCATTGGATATTTTTCTCACTGAGATCCAATCTTGTCAGTAAACACCACCAGCGGCCCTTCAAGCTACTGAAAGCACATTCAACTGTCATTGAATGTTTCCTCGGTACTGTCGAGCTGGCCCCTGTATGACTTCATGAGCTTAGGGAGCAAGGGATAGGCTAGATCCGCCCAGAATCACTACGGGCATTTCAACATCACCAATGGTAATCCACCAGTCTGGAAGGAATGTCCTGGCTTGCACCATTCTGAACAGTCCCGTGTTCTTAAAAATGCAAGTGACATGCATCTTCCGTGACCAGCTCACACTGATATCGGGGAAGCTTCCCAGTGATCCAACAATGGTTGCATAACCATAGAAAAGTCACACTTTCTGTTGACAGGCAAGGTGGATTGAGGCCAAAATAGGGATGTGCATGCAAGACATCTATCACACTGCTGCTGTTTGGGAACCCCATTGCTGCAAATCCATGCTCTGTGTCCTGCACATTACTAAGAGTCACAATTCCGCGTAGCAGGAGATGCTTAATGGCCTGCAGACATGCATGATAACAGACCCCACCGTGGATTTTCAAACTCCAAAATGATTTCCCTCTGACCAGTAGCAATCCAGTGTTGCCATTCCATTCTGTGCGGTTAGAGTAGCTCTCATCCTGGTGAGCTGGGGCGAGCTTGACACACAGATCCAGGAATGTGGCCCTTCTCATCCAAAAATTCTTGCAGCCACTGCTCATCATCACAAACTTGCATTACAATGCGATCCCACCAGGCAGTTCTCATTTCGCAGGCCCAGGCATGGCACTCTACCACCTGCAGCTGCTCCATGACCACCACTGACAACCTGGAACAGCAATCTGTCCTCCACAAAATGATCATGTTCCCCAGTTATGTTCCCCATCGCTGTGGTTCTCTTCTTGCGGCTCTGCATGTACTGGGGGCTCATTCACCCTGTGTTTGCAGAGCTCATGACAATAGTGCAGAGCTGTGCGGGATCCAAGCTTCAGTCAGAAATGGTTGCCAGCAAAAATGTCATGCAAGTTTGTGGGACTTTTAAAAAAGGTGCAAAAATTATGGGCTATGGATGGCATTATGGGATGGAGAAAGTGCATGATGGGGACTTGACCCCTAGCTCTCAATCACCTTTGTATGCCTAGTTTCTGTCCCACCATGCACTGCAAAAATTTCCCAAAAGACAATGCACCAAATGATGGCGAGTTGCACACTGGGATACATAGCCATGGTGCATTGACAAACACACTTGGTGAGTACATGCTGCGCTGACATAACTGGCCAGATATGCATGCACACAAGCGATATACTGACTAGCACCATATGCTGATATAACTTGCGTCGATCACAGTTTGTAGTATAGACATGACCTCAGACCCACTATGTTTATATAAGGATGGCTCCTACAGAAGGGCTTCCTGAGTTTACAAACACTGTGCTCCGAGAAGATAAATTAGTGAAGCTACTTTATTTCTTATCAGTAAAGACATCAGCACAAAAACAGTGTTCTATATCTAAATTAAACAATCATATATGCTTCACAGTAAATACACACTTAACTCCATGCTGTTTTATTTTCTCTTTGAAGAATTAACCAAAACATCCCGGAAAGTAAGCAGGAAAGAGGCAGAGAAGAAGAAAGAATCCAAGGTGCGTGACTATTCTCTTAACATTGTAAGCTTATTATGGCAGAAGTAATAACTCTATACTTTTCCTCACTGTATGTTTTTGATAGATTTCCAGGGCTCCTGCCAGTACTAAAATAAAGTCAATTCAATAATTGTACAAAACAACTAGTACAATTCTAAGTAAATTACATCAATGCAAAAAGACTTAACACAGAATAAAGGAGAAGGGTTAATATATTATTTCATAACTTTTCAGCGGTTTTAGAGAAAAAATATTGTGCATTTAGCACAAGTTTAGAAAAATTAAATCATGGCACAAAAGCTACAAAATATTAAGGGAGAGAGAAAATGTAAACTTACAGTTAATTACATGTGTGTGGTGCACAGTTGTTCTGCAGCCCCCTTTTCAAGATGTCCAAGAAAGCTTAAAAATATATAGATATAAAAGAAAAAAGGCAGAGAAAAGAAAAAAGCAGCTTACCAGACCAATCATCACAAGTCAAAAGGCAGAAAGCCTGGTTCTGGGAGCTTTTAACGAACGCTGATTGGTTGAGCCAATCAGAAGGTCGTTACTGACCACATGACCTTTTGTGGAATCATATGAATCTTAAACTAAATCATGTTTTCCTGAGCCAATCTGAAAGGGTTTTCTAACCCCATTTTATGGAATTATACATTGCAGCATATTAGTGTATAATACTGGTATTGTTAAAACACCATCCGAAGAAGCATGCATGTAGATTTCTTTATCAAAATTTTTAGAAAACCTATGTAAATTTAACAGTTAGCCTTATTTATTTATTTCATTTCTGTACCAGGAATCAAACTTCCTTTTTCTACACAATTCCTTTAACATTTGTCTTTAAAAACTGGTAGACACACCCATGCCCGATGACAGGAGAGGAGAGAGGATGACAATGACAAAGGGGGCAATTGCCCAGAGGCCCAGGCGATTTAAAAGGGCTCGGGTGCCCCTGGGCCCTTTTAAATCGCCCAGGTGGACCGCAGGGCTCCTAGGCATGCACAGGGTGGTACTGGCAGCGGCGGACATGTGAAAGCCCTGGCGGTGCCAGAAGAGCACACCCAGCAGGCCCATTGATTGTTCTGCCCTGGGGCCCGGAATTGCTGTTGGCGGGCCTGGACACACCCTAACGGAGTTATATGCAGGGCCGGCTCTGGCTTTTTTGCCGCCCCAGGCAAAAAAGCCTCCCGCCGCCCCCCGACCCCAGCGGGGAGCGCGGCAGGGGAGGGCGCCAAGCCCGGCCGCGGGCCCGCTCTCCCCGACCGGCCAGAGCGCCGGGAGGAGGGCGGGGAGCCCAGCCGGTGCTCGACT